CACTGATAGATACGGAACAAAAACGTGTCAGCGAATTCTTTTATTTCAAATACTTTTCTCGTGGCGGTCTCTAACGCAACACGTTACGCGAATTTTTCGGTATTGGAACTTGATAGATCTATAAAAAGATGACCAATAGAAATGAAAGAAAATGCTGACACGGTTTGAGAGATTGATGCTTTCTGATTAACACAGCACAGTCATTTTGCATCAACGATGGCATTTGATACCCGATTAATTCGCCGGAATTTCAGTCGGTCGTTTTGGTGTTAACGGCTTCTGCCTCCGTAGGAAAGCAGTCGGCAAAAAGAATATAATTTTATCGAATTCTACATTTTATAGCCTTTCTATTGATATATAGTTTGTGGGGGTTTCCTTCAAAACAGCGCGCGTACGAATTTTTTTCTGGAGGACGCCCGCGAAGGTTTGAAGTAACCTTAAGGATAGAAACCCTTTGCTTTCTTAGCAAACCCTCAGAAACGTATTTTCTCTCAATATAGCTGTGAAATGCAAAAAAGCACTCCTTTCATATTGTATACAATTTATACTTTTCATATGTTAAAAAAAGACACAAAAGAGAGGTCTTTTGTCATTTTAATTTCGGTTAGATGTAATTTTAATACGTACAAAAATAAATTACACATCGGTAACGCTGCAACGCTTTAAATGTGTGGCCAACTTTTGCAGCAGAATCAAGCTTTCCATTCTTAAAAACAGTGCTTTTAAGAAAGTGCCTATTCCTGTTTTAAATAGGATGACCCACCCCCACGTGTCGCAGAAAATCGAACGACCCACCCCTTTCTAAGAGCTCAAAAACTGATGACCCAGCCCCTCTCTGCTCCGCCCCCCCCCGATACTTTTTGAACAGTTCCCAAAGTGTAAATTGTTCTCGTCACACATCAGTTCTTCGTTTGACGGTATCGTTTTCGTTCTTTCGTTGGCTTCCTGTAAATTAGCGTTCACGAGTTTATCACCATGTGCGATCATTACGTTTTCTACTGTCTCTTTGTCCATGTGCGTGCGTTCGCTCGCTTCCATATCACAATTCTTCGAATCAGCCATTTTCCTTAAATTTCAGACGAACCCAGCGTCTTGATACCTTGACGTTTGCATTAAATGGTACCTATTGAATTGTTAGAGGAGGTAGGCAAAGAATTTTCGAAACGAATGTGAGCGCGAAACGTTACTCACAGGACGATCGGTAAATCCCATGTTATTAAACAGAACTTCGTTACGCGCTTCAAACCGCTTGCTACAACAAAGTCACCAAGATGACTAGTGTAATTAGAGTTTATTGAAGCGAAGCAATGTAGATGTTAAACCAAGCGATGTGTAACAAATCGAAGCGAAGCGGTTTCGAAAACTAAGGAGTAAATAGCGGAGTAAAACTAAATTAGACTATGTACAAAGCTATTACAAACTTCGGAAAACAAAACTTGAACTACATAAATCCGGCATGAAAAGCTGTATAGTAGCATGCACAAGAAAAAAGGACTTACTTCTGTGTCCGCGTTAGGGATTTCACAGCGTTAATCGTTGAACTCTTTTCTTGATCTTAACACGATGAAACGTTGACTAGGACTGAATGATTTTTCCTGAACACGTTCGTAAAAAATGCTAACTAATAAAAAGGGTTATAACTTTCTTTTTTTCATTTACCGTACGTGGGAATACCTATCCGCAAAAATCACTTTGGAGGTCTTGGAGAAACTCGTACCCAGGCTCTCCATGTTATCGGCCAAAAGTTTACATCTGAGTGAGTGACACATTTGCATATTTTGCCCCATAACAATAGTCGTTTCTACGCTTCGCGTATCCACGACTAAAAAGTATAGGGAAAATAATTGTTAGAATGACGTCTTCTATGCGAATGTCCTCCAATAGATCATAGGTGAGAATAAATCAAAATGCTCGACTAATTTGTCTCATTATATACACATGTATATCTTTTAAAAAACTATTGATTCATTCCAGTGATGTCGAGAGTCCAAGAAACAACTTGAAGTAACAGTGGGATTCATCGGAATTTAATCCGTCGCTTTTTGCCAACTGAAAAGATGGGAACTCAGTATTGAATAAACCACTTCTTTTCTGCTGTCATTCCAGATAGCGAATTATTCTCTGTCTACGAAACAGCTCAGAGGTCATTGTTGACTCAAACCCGATCACTTTTCAAACATTCGCTAAAAACAATGTTAAGTTATCGATTACCTGAAAATGATTTAGACATGTCACTCTCTTTCGAAACAAAGTTTTAAGAATAAACGCCGATGTAACGTCGCCATAAACCTGACAACGAAAAAAATGGCATCTCCTGACAAGGTAGAGGCATTTCTGGTTTAATTATTTTCATTATTTATATTTAGTTGTAGCAAAATGTAACACACTACTGTAGATAATTTGGTTGATTAATGAAATGGCTATGGAATAAATTCCCGAGAAACATACTTGTAGGTACGTTTCAGTTCAAACAGCAAATGCTTTGGATCGGCTTAGGTTTTGATTATGAAACAATATTGGATAAATCCGCGCCCCGCTGTTTAACCCCTTAGCCTTGCCTTTTGCTATAAAAGGTTCATTATTCATTTCATGCAGTTTCTGTATCGTACAGAGCTGAGTAAGGTCGAGTAATTTACATACCTTCTAGCAGCAGCTGCAGGAACCTTGAAG